TTATTATTATTATTATGAAGGATAGCAATCCAAAAATGAAATAGGAGGCTGTTTGTAACATTTAAGGAGTACAAACAAAAGCCAGCTGAAAGACAATTACTCCAGTAAAAAAGTATAGACAACCAAAATTTCTACGTAAGTAAATCTAAGTATGATGTATTTGTGCTTTACACCTCTGATTATGACTCATGTGCTGTAATTCTCTTTGTCTTTTATACTAAATCCAACCACTTTTCTGTGTGTACAACTATGTGCATGATGTCTGTTTACCTGTTGCATTATTAGATGTGTGCAAGCTCATGCTAATTTATGAGAGGCCATTTAAGACATAAATCGAGAAAGCTTGCATAAACACATGTGAAAACCATTCATACATACTAGTGAAATGTGCTCTCACACACATATGTGAAAACCTTTCATACATACTAGTGAAAACCTTTCATACACACATGTGAAAACCATAATTTTCATCGTTGCGTCTTATCTGCTGCACCACCAGAGGGCAGTACAGCACAGAGCAGGAGTTGTGAAACTGATGTAAGTGGTTCACAGTGGTCTCATTACTGTTTTTATTTCCACAGATGGATCTGCTCTGTATTATCTGAAGGACCATGGTGAGATGTAAAAAAAAAAAGGTCAGTCAAGCAGCTCTAATTTAAACTCACTTGTCAGGTTTGACTGGTGCTGTTCTCAAGAAGTGAAAACACTGTGTCGACATAACATGACTTAAGACAATTATTTGCAGACATTAGAAAGGTTGTCTCTAAAACACCTGCTGATAGGTTTGTCATTATATAAAAATAGGAAGGACTAGTGGTTGTTTTAGAGCATTTTTTTATTTATTTTTTTGCCAGAACGCAATAAACTTTCAGAGGAAGRTAGACACTTTTTTATGGGCTGTGAAAACATTCTCTTACAATATCGCTTCTCTTCAACAACAAAAACAAAATGTTTATATTTGTGTTTTTCCCCCACATTGAATAAAACCAGCAGTAAGTATAGAGTATGCAT